GCGGGTGGAGCAGCCACTTTCCCAGGATTAGTGCATTCAGAACACATCCCATCCTCGGGAATTCTTGCATATGCTTTCCTTCTATCCACCTTTAGTCTTCTTCCTAATGATATCTCAATACTGGCCTCTTGCCGTGGTAGGAATGTCCTTTGGATTTAGATAAGCATAGGCACACAGTCTCCTGTATGCATCTATTTGGTTGTTGGAAAAACCATGATGTATTTTTCTATACAAAAAATGTGTCATGATTTTTCTGGCGACCCAATCATTTCTGGCATTGGAGCTGATCTTTCATTGTTGGCACCAAGTCCAGAGCATGTCTTCGTAAAGCTGGTTGACTGGTAGCAGTTCAGAGGGTAGTGGGGGCACTGGCATCTTTTTCAGAGGCTGTAGGCTGTCATTTTATTGTGCCTTTTCCTTCAGACAGGAAGCTTTGTCATCCTTCAGAGATCTTTTTTTTCCTCCCCTTTGCCGAGGTTGTTGGTAACTCTGCAGATGTGCTTGGTTGACTGAAAGCCCAGTGTTGCTCTTCAATTTCTATGGACACTTGTTCAAAACCAAGATTTCCGTATTCTTCCCATGGTTTCTCTGTGAATTTCCACTCCTTGCCTCTTCTGTGCTCCATATCAGAAAGATCAGGTTGATAAATGACAATTTTCCAGTTTCTAATGTATTTTTAAAAATCTGTCAATTTAACAATTAAATATACACTTAATTTATTATGAAGTTGTTCTAAAATTTTTACATTTTTTATTAATGAGATATATTAAATTATATACACTTTGACCTAAGATACTGGTATATAAATAAGCTATTGGGATGGCTGGAGTGCTTTGCAGATAGAGATCAGAGCTCATTTTTAAAAATTTTTTAGTCATTTAAAAATTTTTCTTAGAGATGATTTTGCTATATACTGCCTCAGCCTCTTGAGTATCTGAGACTACCGCATGCTTCACCACCTTTGCTACCTTGACAAGAATCTTGCTACATTGTTCACACTGGCTGCAAACTCCTGATCTTCCTGCTCCAGTCTTCCAAGTAGATGGGATTACAGAAATTTACCACATGTCTTTAGATGAAATCGCTGAGATTAGAGAAGTACTTCTCTTCTTGGCTTTCTGTTTGGTTTAGAGGTTATCAGCTAAATTAATGAGAAGTTAGCTTCTGGCTTGGGTGATCTAGAACTAAAAATAAAAGCTTTGTTTCTTTTCTTTTCTTTTTTTTTTTTTTTTTT